AAGGAAGAAAACTGAAGGAAGAAAGTAAAAGAAGAGGAAAAATAAAAATGAATATTTGCCTAAATGGGTAAAAATATTATTATAGATAGAACAAAATATAGGCATCAACACCAGACCAAACGCAATATTATAATACGCATTATTTCCATGGTGTCAATCATTGACCATAGCAATGTATCCAAGAACACGTCGCACTGTATCAAAGACCCTCAACTATCTCGAACGTTATTACAGCTGCAAAGTTTCACACTTTTGGATTTGTTTGGTGTCTATGGAAGATTTGAACAGTCGTGTTTTTGTAGGGTTTTGGTTTACAGTCTCTGTATTTGAATAAAGCCGGACTTTGCATACGTAACTTCACTGCCATTATAATAAAAATCTTTCACAAATGTTAACCTTTTAAAATAGAAAAAGTTTGTTTTTCATTTATAATACAATAATACAGAAAGCTTATTAATTCTTTTAGGTACGATGAATGCAACAGTCATATCAAGCAGCACAAACAGGAACGCCACTACTCCAACAAGCACAAAGGCACTCTCTCTTTGCTTTGTAAATGACCTAACAAGCGTCAAAACGGCCAAAGTTTTCTTCTACATTATCATCTTCATCGCTTCGTTCATCGGCAACACGCTGATCTTAAACGCAGTAATAAAGAAGGCGACACTTAGAAGGTCTATCAACCAGTTCATTGGTAATATCTGCTTGGCAAACTTACTGATAACATTAGTATACATGCCAAGGATGATGGTGATGGTGGTTGATGGCTCACATTGGCTTGTTGAAGGGACTTTAGGACTAGTACTTTGTAAGCTAGTGCCCGTTATTCACCATGCATGCCTGCTTGTGTCAATCCTCTCGCTCACAGCACTCAGCATTGATAGATTCTTCTATATCGTCGTTCCAACCAAGCAGATCTTAAGCAAGAAAAAACAGAAATTTGTTATACCTTTGATGTGGGTTGTGGCAATTCTAGTGCGCTTTCCTTCGCTCTACGCGCTAAGACTGCACCCAGCAAGACATACTGATTCGCTCACGTGTGATGATAGTATCCAAAAAGCCTTCAAGAGTATAAAAGCTAGGAGGACTTATTACACCTTTCTGTTAATATTCTTTTACGCCTTGCCTCTTATCCTCATTGTGATGTTCTACTCGATTATCATCGTGTTTTTGAAGAAGAGAAAGAGGGTATGTTCAAACCGCCACAAAGCTGATCGGACAGTTGATGCAAAGTACAAAGAAGCGAGCAGGAAAACCCTTAAAATGCTAATCACTGTCACCGTATGTTTTGTGATTTGCTGGGCGACGTACTTCCTGGCTCAAATCGCGTACAGAAGTGTCCCGTGCGAGCTGCGATTTTGGAGGTTTTTCTTGGCTCATTGTAACAGTGCAATAAGTCCATATTTGTGCATGATATTCAACAAAAAATACCAAGAACACGTCAAAAATGCTCTTTACAGAAGCTGTTGTCTTTGCTGTGCCGTTTGTGAAATAGCCGACGAAGACGTGACGGAGATATGAACAAAGAGAATTGAAAGAGAGAAAGAAAGAAAAAAGAAGGAATGAAGGAATGAAGAAAGAAATCTACAGCAAAGGATTCTAGGACATCAACAGCAAAGGATTCTGGGATGTCAACAGCAAAGGATTCTGGGAAATCAACAGCAAAGGATTCTGGGATATCAACAGCAAAGGATTCTGGGATGTCAACAGCAAAGGATTCTGGGAAATCAACAGCAAAGGATTATGGGATATCAACAGCAAAGGATTATGGGATGTCAACGGCAAAGGATTATGGGATATCAACAGCAAAGGATTATGGGATATCTACAGCAAAGGATTATAGGAAATCAACAGCAAAGGATTTTGTGATATCTTCAGCAAAGGACCCTGGGATGTTCAACCACTACACACAGCAAAGGACTCTGGGATCTTCAACCACTACACACAGCAAAAGATTCTGGGATGCAATTTATCCAAAATAACCGCTTTTCTTAACGAGAAATGAATAAAAGTCCTTAAAATTAAAAGAGAAGCTTTCCCACTGTGAGTTCAAGAATAAACCACAAATAACAAATTGCATCAGTAATAAACCAAGCTGTTTTCAACTTGTTAACCATACCACCTGCAGACTCACTATAATTGCTTTGCGCTGCACATGAAATGATTAATCCATGGAGATCGTGCGTGGATAAAAATTATAATGTAAATGGGAAACTTTTTGGTGGAAGAAGGAAAAATACTTCCTTAATTTGACAATTGAAACTCTGAATTTGGTCTTTCTTTAGTGTATGTTATCGCTTGCCTGGGCTACTGATATCTTGGATATCTTTTGAACAGCAACAACTTAAGCAACGGGGAAAAAAAGGAACAGCAACCACAACACACAAAAAAAAAATAGCAGCAACAACAGCAGCAACAACACACAACAACAATAGCAGCAACAACACACAACAACAACAACACACAACAACAACAACACACAACAACAACAATAGCAGCAACAACAGCAACGACAACACACATCAACAGCAATAGCAGCAACAATAGCAACAACAACACACATCAACAGCAATAGCAGCAACAACAGCAACGACAACACACATCAACAATAGCAGCAACAACAGCAACAACGTACAGCAACAACTGAAACAGCAGCAACAACAACAGTAACAACTGCAGCAGAAACAACAGCAGCAACAACACCAACGACAACAGCATGATTGAAAAAGAATTGAAATTTAGAAGTTGATTTTTTACAAGTGAAAAAAGAAGAAGGCCCAAATAAAACCCTCGAAGGCCTAGAGAGAACCAACAAGCAACTTTACTTTAAAAAAAAAAAAAAAAAAAAACGAGTTTGGTAAACGATAACGTAAACGGAGCGCAGTGGTTAGACGCAAATACTCACTACCACATTAGCTAAGCTTCGCTTATATGTTCAAATGTCTCAAGTCATTTTTTTACAGAATAGAATGACGTCCCGTAGATAACTTAACGACAATAAACTTATTAAAGTTTCAATGTCTTAATCCGCTAACCTTGGGTTTAAATGAAGTTTTTGGAAGATAATAAACACTCTAGAAAGCATCGCCGACGGCTGCTTTTGATAATGAACAGGGTTTGTCTCCCTGGGAGCCAAGCAAAACTACTTCACCTCAAGTTGGGGTCATGGAAAAATTCATTGAGTTTCTCGCTGTGTGTGTGTTTCAATTATATTTTAGTTTAGGTATTTATTTTATTCAATTAAAATATACCAATAAACTCACATAAAAATGAATTCTGGAAAGTATAGTAAGAGAAGAGAAGAGAAGAGAAGAGAAGAGAAGAGAAGAGAAGAGAAGAGAAGA